ATAATTTAAAAATAAAGAAAAGTATTTTTAAACATTTAAAACAATTCAAATAAAGTGAAAAATTATAAAAAATATCAAAACACAAAATAAAATTGTAAAAAAATAATAATCAAAGAAAAAAATCAAAAGTATTTTTCATAATTTTTTTCAGATTTTTTTGAAGTAAAAATGAATGTTCTACGATTTTTTGAAGTTTAAAACAATTTAAATATAAAAATAAAAAAATAAAATAAAGTCAAAAAAATGTGTACCAATGGATGAGAGCCAAAACACGTTAGTAAGCTAATCCAATTGATCAGACGCACTGTGCATATCATGGTCTTTACTGAATAAAGCATGAAATCATTTATTTAAATCAGATTTTGAAAAATGCGTGACATGCCTTCATTGGTTGATAGATGATACGTTGGTCATCTTCAACCTCCAGTCAACGAATATGCAGGTTCCATAAATTATAAAATTAGGACACGAGACCGGTACCATTTTCTTCGTCTCTTCAAGACGATTCCAATGGTACCTTCGAGAAAAATTTATATAAATTGTAGCTCATCCGTTTTTGAAAATAAGTTTTGAAAAGAGATTTGAAATTTCATGGCCAAAAAGTACTTCCAGTTGAAAACAAGTATTACGGCCAGAATCAGGATAATGAGAGCTTCATAACAGTATCCAAGTTTGAGAGAATTGGTGAAGGAATCTACCTATGGAAGTTAAGTTGTAGAGCTCTGAAACTGGACTTGGCTAGCACGATTTAGGAAGTCTTAGAACTTAATTCTTCTTTTGTTAGCTTCAGTGAGGTTCAAGGGAGGTGAATTCACAAAGAAAAATGATTGAGAAAGGTTGTAGGGAAAAATTGGAAGTTGCAGAAAATTGAGCTCAAGAGGAAGTTTAGCAGGGTGATTCTGGCTCTCTAAGCTTGAGAAAATGAATGAGGGATGATCCTCTATTTATAGGGAAGCTGATTGAATGCTTAAGTGTTTGAAATGATGAAGTTTGGAGGGAAATCATGTGAAGTTGCAAACAAGAAAATTGTGACTTGTAATTTGATCAAAACTCATCCAAACCTTGTGTTTTAATATGCTAATCACTTTTGGAGGATCACTAAACATGTTTAGAAGAAAAAGCACGCAGAAAAATGTGTTTAGAAGCTAAATCAAAGGTTTCAAATTCTGACTTTTGAAGAAACTTCAGTTTGAAGTTACCAAGTTCAAATCAATGGCATTCTCAGTTCAAGGAGTCTTAGGACATGATTCTTGAATCTTTAGAAAGATGAGATCACAAGCTTTACAATGTGAAAAGAATTGAATTAAATGGATGCTTGAGCTGAAAATTATGATGAGTCAAAGTTGAGAAAAAGATGTTGACTTTCTATACTTAGAAAAATTCTAAGTTTTTTCTTCAAAAATGACCTATAATGTCTTGCATCCAAACATGGTCTTCCCTTTGAATTTTTCTCTTGACCAAAAAATATGGCATGAAGTAGATATCTTGAATGACATTTTGAGACTTGAACCATTCAAAATATCCAAAAATTGAGAAAGTTATGACTTGTTGAAATTGGAAAAAATTCATAAAATGACCTATAATCTTTGTCATCCTTAAGGAATATTCCATTCATTTTCACACTTTTCACTTAAAAGAATGGTTGAAGTTCACATCTTTAAGATCAATATGGAAAAAGAATGGGCTCAAGGTGATAAAAATTGACTAAGTTATGATCTTTTGAAGTCACATAAGGGAATTTGATGATTCATCTAGAAGACTTGTAATATTTCTTCATCATTAGGTACCTTCCATACAAAATTTCCTTGAAACTTTTGAAGTGATTTATTGATAACCCTTTAAAGAGAAGGATGTTTTTGGAATCACTCAAAAATACCAAAAGATGAGCAAGATATACCCCTTTTAAGTTCAAAACCCTAGCTCCTAAAGCAACAAGATACCTTAGAAATCCTTTTACATTTTTGATCAACTTTCTTGTACAAATACTTTTTTCATATAAATAGAAGTTGTTGAGGATGATAATGAGTAACCATAGAAACCATAACCACTTCATAATATTGAGAATTGAGGGAAATATGAACTTGTGATCAATGAATCAAGAACTTGTCCAATTAGGTCAAACTTCTTTAATCAACCCTTGTACCTTTGAACTATTTTTGAAAACTTGAGGCATGATGAATCATAATAGACTTTGTCATGATATTACTTCAAAATATATTCAATAATGAAGCTTGAATCTCAATGATGCTTTGTTGAAGAAGGCATGGAAATAAACTCATGAACTTATGGATCAACTTGCTAGAATGTGTTGTGCTTTCACCTACGATATACATAATTAGGGCAAACATACGTTGTATTTATTAGTTAAAAGTTAATCAATATAAAACATAGATGATCACAAAATACAAGTCAAGGTGTTTGGTGATTCCCCATGAGCAAAACTAAGATAAAGAGAAGAACCAAATCCTAGTGTGTGATCTTGTTGCATTGTGATGGTATGAGATGATGAATGAATCTTAGGAGAAAAAATTGGGGTACAATAGGAACATAATGTTATTTTTCCAAAAATCACTTTTTTTAACTGCTATGTGCCGACTCATAGCTCGCTCAGGTCGGCACATACTACACGTTGGGCATAAAACTATGTTTTAAAGCTCCTAAACAATTATTCTCTTGACAACAACTTAGGCATATGAATACACATAATAACAGACTAATTTTTATAGTATTTTTACATTCTAAAATCATCTATCATGCTATAGAACCATAGATTAGCAATACATCAAAATTATAATCATCAAGCAATCATCTATCATCATCAATTCACATGTTTTATGAACACATTATCCAACAATTAAAATACAGCAGAATCAATATCATCAACAACATAACATAATCATACAATATCAACATTAATGATTTTATCAGTCGCATCAATAATTATTATAATTAACAATAATCAATAAGAATCAAAACCCTACATCTACCTTCCCTTATATCATTCGTAATTGACAACCATTACCCATCTTTACCTTAGAATTGCACTAGAATTGCTTTCTTTTCACTATGGGTGGATGTTCTCTTGCCTTCTCTTTGCCCTAGCCTCTTTTCTCCCAACTTTCACGTATCAACATAATGATCTCACTTCTTTCTATTTTACCTTTTTATCTAGTAACACTAGACTCTTTCTATGCTTTCCTTCATAGTCCACACTTATTCTCACGCAGTTACCTCGTTGCCCCTTAAATTTCTACATTCTCTAATTTATTTTATTTTCCTCATTATTTCATTAATAAACCACAAAAACTATTATTTAATTATTCTAAATAATTCTAACTTAAGGACTTATATCCCCACCAACAATTCAATCACCACAACAAATCATAAATATTTCATGAATAAACACAAATATTAATAAATAAACACATAAGCATCATAATTCTATACTTGAGGTGTTACAGCTGTCATACCCCCATTTTTTCTCGATTTTTTAAAAATTTCAGGCAACAAATTCTCTTGCGCTTAAAATGAAATTTCAGGTTTACAGTTAGACCGATGGAGTCATTTTTCGATCGCGCGTAAAATTTGCGAACAAACTTTCAAGTTTGAACTTGCACCTATTCATTTTACTGAACTATGTTGCACGTAAGTCATTTTGGTATGTTCATTTATTATTCCGAATTTACGCACATTCGTATCTTATATAGTCAGAGTCCTTTTTCGAATATTTTTAATTTCAATTTTGATCTTAACTAGATTATTTTGTAGAACTTTATTCTGAATAGTTTAACTCATTAAATTTATTTTATTTTTTAGCTTTGAGCACGCTCACATTTTATTCGTTTCGATTTAGTTATGTTTTTAACTGAAAAAATTAAAACCAAAATTGTTTAATGTTTAGTTTATTTTTAAATTTTTTTTTAATTTTTATTTAAATTTACCAAACCAATAAGTATAAGGGGAAAATAGATGTTTTAGTAAAATTTAGAGTATTTAAAGCAAGTTTCGATAAGAGTTTGAGGGGACCAATCATATAAAAGGGAGTGGCGGCTAATGAGAGGATCTCATCCTCTCTTCTTCTTTGTGTTCCAGCCACCCACCATTTTTGTTTCCATCTGAACCTTAACCTCCACCCTTTGCTTCTTCCCAGCACCACTGTTTTGGCCTCTCTCAATTACCATCGGGACTTTCATTCCTCTCCACAGTGAGGAACAACAAGCGCCACCATACTCCGCCGCACTCTCAACCATTTGCTCCGCCACTTTTCTAAATCGAAATCTCCATTACTTCCGGCACCTCATCGCCATACTTCCAACCACCATCAAAGTGCTTCTCACGACCTATACTTCACCAGTTTTCACTCACAAAACTTCACTTTGATCTACTATTTCCGACCTCACTCACGGCCAAACATCATCTTCTAGTGTGTTAATTTCAGCATGTAGTTTATTGAAGTCCAGTATTTACATTTTTAATGAAATCTCCTTAAGTAGTTATGTTATGATGAGTCCTGGTAATCTAATGGCTATTTCTCTTTGCTACCAATTGAAAATACGATTTATAAGATGATGCTGACAACAACCTAATGATCGAGAATATTGTCTTTTGCTATTTGTGATGTCCATTCTTTAGTTTTGTTTCTAATTTTGTGGTTAGTATTTTGACTTGATTTTCGAACCATTTTATTGTCTTTGTTTTATTATCTTTGGTTCTTTGTTTTAGAATAAAAAAGATGATTATAAATTTTTTATTTTATTTTAATTGATTTCTGAATTGTTTATCATATTTATATTCTCCATGAATTAGTATTTTGAAAATATATATATATATATATATATATATATATATATATATATATATATATATATATATATATATATATATATATATATATATATATATATATATATATATATATATATATATATATATATATATATATATATATATATATATATAACTTGTTTTTGATGATCCTTTTGTATTGGTGTAGTTAGTCAAAAATCATCACCGATTCGAAGAACATCAAAGCCGCATCATCCACCGTCGACACCAATAGCCCCTTTTCTTTCTTTGGTAAGTCAAGTTCAAATTCTATCTGTATCGATCAATTAAAAAACACAATTATTTTTATATAGATATATTTATTTTCAGTCCATGTTATTAACTCTAGAAATAAATTTCTAGAAATAATTCGTTTAATTCAAACAAAAAGAGAATAATCCGTTTATAGTGTTTTTGTTTACTTGAATTAGTAGAAAAAATGGATAAAAAATGGATGTTTGTCGATCGATTGTCACAAGAGTACGAGAATGGGGTATTGGAATTCGTTAAGTTTGCTGTTGAACACGCCAAAGACCCCAGTCGAATGAAGTGTCCTTGCTTGGGTTGTTGTTATGTGGGTCGGGTTAACGCAGATGGATTGAAATCGTATTTACTAATGCGTGGAATTGATAGAAGTTATACGTGTTGGATATTTCACGGTGAAAAAAGTAACGACAACGTTGAACCAGGAGAAAAAAGTAGTACGGCCTATGCTTCAGACGACAAGGACACAGATACATACGATTTTGATCGAGTCGAAGAGATTGCAGATGCACTTGAAGAAGATCTTCAGGATTGTCCCCGAATTTTTGAGAGATTGGTAAGCGATGCAGAGAAACCGTTGTATAAAGGTTGCACTAAATTTACAAGACTGTCTGCGGTATTAAAGTTGTACTCCCTCCATTCTCTTTTATAAGAAAATTTTAGACTTTTTAGATTCATTGAATAAATAATGTATTTAGACTATATATAAGTTAGATACATCAATTATTAAATTAATCTAAAAAGTTAAAATTTTCTTATAAAAGAGAATGGAGGGAGTACAACTTAAAGGCGGGCAATGGATGGTCAGATAAAAGTTTCACATAGTTATTAGCCCTTATGAGAGATATGCTTCTAGAGGATAATGTTCTTCCTAATCGAACCTATGAGGCCAAAAAAATGTTGTGCTCTATTGGCATGAGCTATGATAAGATACATGCTTGTCCAAACGATTGTGTTTTGTTTCGAAACGAATATGCATCATTAAATGAGTGCCCTAAATGTGGTTTGTCTCGATATAAGAAAAAATTGTCTCCAGTAAAAGTCTTATGGTATTTTCCTATAATTCCGAGATTTAGGCGCATGTTTCGTAGTGAAACCGATGCAAGACACCTTACTTGGGATGCAGATGAAAGAATTATTGATGGAAAGTATCGACATCCGGAAGATTCACCACAGTGGTCGAAAATTGATAATGATTATCCCAATTTCGGAGAAGAAGCAAGAAACCTTCATTTGGCTTTATCTACTGATGGAATGAACCCGCATGGTCTTCAAAGTATCTCACATACCACATGGCTTGTGATTCTTATGATTTATAACCTACCTCCATGGCTATGTATGAAGCGTAAGTACATGATGTTATCTATGTTAATATCTGGGCCTAAACAACTAGGGAATGACATAGACGTATACTTGGCACCTTTGATCGAAGATTTAAAGATTTTGTGGGAGAACGGGGTAGAGGTTTATGATGGATATAGGAAACAAAGTTTCAATTTGAGGGCGATGTTGTTTGGCACAATTAATGATTTTTCAGCATACAAGAATCTATCTGGGTATAGCATTAAAGGTCAACGTGCGTGTCCTATTTGTGAAGATGGAACCGATACGACGCGTTTGGAACTTTGTCAGAAGAATGTGTTTCTCGGTCATCGTAGATTCTTACATTCTAAACATCACTATCGTGCGTGGAGAAAAGCATTCAATTGAGACACCGAACAACGTAAAGCTCCACCTGCATTGTCAGGTGACCAAATTTTTGAAAAGGTGAAAGATGTATGTACTCAGTTTGGCAAGCCTTTTGCGCATACGGTTGTCAAAGGTGGGTGGAAGAAGAGATCAATTTTTTTTAATTGCCATATTGGAAGTCTTTGTATGTGAGACATTTTCTCGATGTTATGCATATTGAAAAAAATGTATTTGAAAGTGCTATTGGTACGTTACTCAATATTAAAGGAAAGTCTAAGGATGACCTTAAAGCAAGGGAGAACATGTTAAAGATGGGAATACGAACTGAACTAGGACCCGTGAAGAAAGGAAGCCGAACATATCTACCACCTGCTGCTTTTACTCTATCTATAAAGGAGAAAAAGATATTGTGTAAGTTTCTAAGTGAAGTTAAAGTTCCAGAAGGATACTCTTCAGATATTAGAAGACTCGTGTCTATGAAAGACCTCAAGTTAAAGAATTTAAAGACACATGATTGCCATGTTATAATGGAGCATTTTCAACCAATAGGTATACGTTCTATTTTTCCAGATAAAGTAAGGAGTGCGATAACTAAGTTGTGTTTTTTCTTTAGGTCAATTTGTAGTAAGGTGATTGATCCTGAGATCTTACCAACATTGCAAAGATAAATTTTTATTACTTTATGTGAGTTTGAAATGTATTTTCCTCCCTCATTTTTTGACATAATGGTACATCTAGTTGTTCATCTTATGAAAGAGATACAGCTGTGCAGCCCAACTTATATGAGATGGATGTACCCTGCTGAATGTTATATGAAAGTATTAAAAGGGTACGTGAAAAACCGAAGTCGCCCAGAGGGTTGTATTGTTAAGCGATACATTATTGAAGAAGCGGTTGAGTTTTATACTGAATATTTGTCCAAAGTTGAATCCATTGGACTCCCCAAAAGTCATATTTTTGAAAAAAAGGAAGGTAAAAGATTAATTGGAAATAAAATTGTGACAGTATCAAAAGATGAACGGGATCAAGTGCATCTATATGTTCTTCACAATGACAGTGAGGTTGAGCCATATGTTGAAATGCACAAGGATGTACTTTGAGGGTTAAATCAGAATAGAAATGAAAATTGGATAGTACGGGAGCACAATCAAAGTTTTATACCATGGTTTAAGGATCATATTTTTTCAAAGCTTCATTCAGACCCCGCTTCAATAACAGAAAGGTTGATATGTTTGACATATGGTCCAAGTTTTCATGTGTTTTCCTATAGCGCATACGCAATTAATGGATACACATTTTATACCAAAGAACAAGATGATAAAAGTACTATGCAAAATAGAGGTGCCACCGTGCTTACTGAAGAAATGCACATTTCAAGTATGAAGGACCTAAACCCCAAATATGCAAATATGTCATATTTTGGGGTTATCGAGCATATTTGGGTGTTTGATTACGAGAAGTTTCAGATTCCTATCTTTGGTTGCAAGTGGATAAGTAGTAATGGTGTACGAATGGATAAGTCAAGATTTTTACAAGTGGATCTTAATAGGGAGGGGTACAAAGATGAGCCTTTTATTCTAGCCTCTCAAGCTAAACAAGTTTTCTATGTCACTGACCCGACGAGTACAAAATGGTCTATAGTGCTTTTATCTAACAAAATGGTTGATGATAACAGTGTAGACCAAGGTGATATTGATGATGAGAATGAGTCGTGTATTAGAAGGAATGAGTCGTATATTATAAATGATCAAGATGAGAATATTATTAGCGGCTGAATCATATATCAGAAATGATCATAATGAGGGAATTTGGATAAATACATCCGTTCGTATTGTTAAGAAACAAGTAATTCATATTCCAATCAAGAAAAGAAAGAGATGTTAGTGAAAGAAGTAGCATATTAAAATATTTATGTTTATGTTTGTGTTTACGTTTAAGTTTATGTTTATGTTAATTTTTGGCATATATATATATATATATATATATATATATATATATATATATATATATATATATATATATATATATATATATATATATATATATATATATATATATATATATATATATATATATATATATATATATATATATATATATATTTAAATGACTATGGAATTTTATATTGGGTTTATATTTATGTTTATTATAGGTTAGATGACTACTAACGACGATCACCCACGTGTTGATTCTGTGCATGATGGAGATAAATATATATATATATATATATATATATATATATATATATATATATATATATATATATATATATATATATATATATATATATATATATATATTTAAATGACTATGGAATTTTATATTGGGTTTATATTTATGTTTATTACAGGTTAGATGACTACTAACGACGATCACCCACGTGTTGATTCTGTGCATGATGGAGATAAGACCGTTAGTAAAACGAAAATGGAATATAGATGAGGAATAACAATAATGAAGAGAATAATTCGGGATAGAGACCAAGGCATAAAGTATGATGTGCATTGGAGTCAAGAAGGCCAACTAATTGAGCCTAACGGTTCAACATTGACGAGTTATCTCGGTTCGGTGGTAAGGAGAGAAATTCCAATTACATGTGAAGATTGGAGAGCAAGAGTGTTGGACGACGCTAAAGATAAAATATGGAGTGAGACACAGGTACCATATGTGATGTTATTTGTTTTTAATGATGATTATGTCTCTAAATTACTTATACCAACACACTTTGTGTATGATTTTCATAGAAGTTATTCATCATTGAGGATACCAGAAGAGATTATATTCTAAAATTGGCCGGGAAACTACATAGAGGGTTTAGAGCTTTCTTGTCAAACAAGATTCTTAGGGATGCAGATAAATTTTTTGTTGATGCAGAGCTTCCAAAGAAATATGCAGATTTGATTACAGCTAAAGAATGGGAAACTTTTAAATTCAAAATAAATACCCAAAAATTTGAGAGTTTAAGTGTCGTAAATCGACAACAAGCATCAAGTCCAACATATCCATACAGAAAAAGGCGTATGGGATATGCACGCTTACAACAATCTATTGTAAGTATCTATAAATTGCAAAGTATATATAATATATGCACGCTTATATTTGATCATGTTATTTGGCTTAATGTGTAGCTAACAAAGGAGAATAGTTCTGAAACATCTCTTTCGGAACACATTTTGTGGAAGGAAGCCCGTGTGTGTAAGGATGGAGCTGTTGAAGAAAAAGTTTAACAAATTTTTGAGAGATGTGTAAGTATCACATTATTTATTTAATTACATCATACTTTTATTTATTTAATTACATCATTCTTTTATTAACATATCATTCTTTAATTACAATATTTATATGAATTTCAGGAGACTCTTTCCCAGTCTATACCTCCAGATGAAGATAATGATTGCAGAAGAATACTCTCACGAGCATTAGATATTCGTGAGTATTCTGGTCGGGTGAGGGGTAAGGGATTTGGGATCACTCCAACATCCTTGGGAAAAAAATCAAAGACAAAAACTCCTAGAAATAAAGAACTTCAGGAGAAGTTGGAAAAGTTACAACAAGAAGTTTATGAGCTGAGAAAGAAAAAGGAAATAGATCAAGCTATATGTTTTAAAGATACTAGTAACAAATGTAGTATCAATGGTAACTTTGGACAGAATATTCCTGAGGTAATTATATACCATATTTATAAATTATATAACCATATTTATTAATTATATAACCATATTTATTAATTATATAACCATATTTATTAAATTATAGGGCATTTCTCGGTGTCAACTCTATTTGTCGGCACCGACTTATCGGATGGTTGGCAAGGGAAAAGTGTATAATACTCCGGGAGAAATGCTTCACCATAAACCGCTCCCAGATGGATTTTTGAAAGTATCGGTCAATGTTGTTTTAGAGGGGGGTGCGTTGTTACCACTACCTGACAATGTGGCAGATGCAACATTGGTGGCAGATGCAATATGATCGTTTGTTGCATGGCCGTCAAGCCTCGTTTGTGTATATAATGAGGTATGCTTAAAATCATTTACTATTCAAATTTTTAAGGCAATTATACTTACATTTTGTTTATATGGTAATGTTAGACTCCAACAAAATCCATTCCAAAAGATAAGGGGATTAGGCGGGAGACCGAGTCAATTGCATCAATTGAGGTACAACACAATTATATGACATTTATGCTATGAGAAATGCTAATTTTTTATTTTATACTTCCCCTAACTAATTATATGATAACTAGATTCATGCTAAAGAGACTGCACAAGTCAGTAGGGGTAAGGCGCCTGAAATTAGCAATATTTCCACACAAAAAAAGAATGTTGCTAAGAATACTGTGGCCAGCAAAAAAACTACTGCTCAGTTCAGGTCGTGCCTTCGGACAAATTTAGGAATTACAGATATTCCAGATGGTGGTGCTCGCCTTATACCTATGAGTGCATACATCTTTGGTTTTGAATACCTGGAAGCAATTGGTAGAGAGGATATGGATCAAGTTTTTAGACATTTGGAATTAGGACTCGGTGTTATCGGTATATACATCAGGTATACTCCGATCAACTTTATTTAATTAGATGAACAATTTAATCTCTCATTTCAATGAATATAGTATAATGTTAATGATGTTTTAATTTAAGGTTTATGTATGACAATATTGTGCGCCCGCGTGGATTAGAAGCAAGATTTGGCTTCTTAGCTCCCAACACTGTCAATTCAGGGTTAATTGTAACGAGACTAGATTATGTCATAGCATATGTACTCGGTTTATTCATGGCCATCAAAGATACTGAGAAGTTGTTCTTGTTGCCATATAATACTGGCAACGGGTTAGATTTTCATCCTAACTTGATCTATTATAATTTTCCGTTTTGACCATTATTTAATCTTTGTTTAATATTACAGTGGACACTGGTTATTGGTTGGGATTAATCTATGAGAGAAATTGTGTATTATCTGGATTCGTTATATAATGATTGGTCAACATATCCAGATTTGAAGCAGATGATTGACACGTAAGTTTTTCGCTCCCAAAGAGATATTCAAGTTTATGTTTATGTTTATGGTCAACATATCTGGGTTTGTATTTATGTTTATGTTTCTATGTGAGATTGTTCTAAACAGTCATTTATATTTTATTATAGCGTTCTACTAGCTTTTCGCTCCCAAATAGATATTCAAGTGCCAAAAAGTAGAGCCAACAACGTTACATGGATCAGAGTGGAGGTATATTTTCACAAAGAGATATTCAGTTTTGATTACATTAGTGATGATACTTGATAAAACAATTTAAGGGGTATATCCTGATATATATTCGTATTTTCTTTCCATGTGTAGTGTCCTCGCCAGCGTAACCGTATAGATTGCAGCTATTTATGTTGAAGTTTATGAAAGAAACTATTCTTTTGGATCGATTAGAGATTCCATCCACGGTATGAATTTCTAACTTAGGAATTACATACTATTTTCATATTTTGTGTTTCTCATAAAATGACATATTGTTTTAACTAAATCACATACTATGTTATATTATTATATATGTAGTACTTTGAGGAATTCAATTGTGCACATTACTCAAAAGATCAATTGGATGAACTTATGGAGGAATGGTATCAATTCATTATCGGGTTGAGAATTTTATAAGATAAGCTATATTGTCTTATTTCCTTTGATGAGAACTTTCGAGTTTGAGTATAAATTAAATTCGAATAAAATGCAACATTAATATTATCATGTTATGAATTTCGATCATTTAGTTTTTTTCCAGGTTTATAGGTGCATGTGTAGAAGATAGAGCTAAGATATTCATGTTGTTGTTGTTTCATGAGAATTTTCGAAGATAGAAAGATGTACAGATGTAACATCAATTTTGAATTTTAGGATTTTTAACTTGTAGAATTTTAACTTGTATTGAAATTCTGGCTGCAGATACTCAATGTCACGTTCAATGTTATGACACTGTATCTGACTTTCTATAAGACAGTAAATACAAAAACAGTAAAGAACACAGTCAATTGTTTACCCATTTCAGTGTGCAACAACACCTACTCTGGGGGCTACCAAGCCAGGGAGGAAATCCACTATAAGAGATATTAATTCAGGAATAAACCAACCAGTTTATCTCCTTCACTTAAGACCTACCCAATGCAACTTCATCTAAGTACAACTTAAACCTGAGTTCCTACTCACTCCCCCTCAATCACAGCAGTGATACTTAAAACAATTGACTAATGATTTAATGAAGACACTCTTCAAAACATACACTTGATTATGCTTCACAGCTTTTTAATCAAGCAACACAAACACTCTTGCTTCACAGCTTTGAGTGATACATAAACCTAACTTGACTTTGCTTCAAAGCTTTAGTCAAGAGACATAAAACACTCTTGCTTCAAAGCTTTGAGTGATACAAAACCCTTACAATTAAAACCTATTCCAAGTCACTTATCACAATGATACTTGCTTGGATTACAATAGTTAAAACTATACATCTTCTAAATGATCTTCTGTCAAAAAGGGATAAATTCCAAACAGCAGCCCTGTTGAATATATAGCAGCTGCTTCTTCAGTTAGGGTTTCCACAAAAAGCTAGGGTTAATTCCGTTTGACCTTAAGACTTGGTCACAGGACTTTATCAACCAGGTTAGGGTTGAGCTAGGTTAACCCCAAGACCACGAGAGATTCTGTTCTGGAAAGACTGAGTCATTTTCCTGAAAAAACTCAGAATTAACCAAACTGCATAACTGTTAGTTCAGAACAGGATGTCTTAACATTTGTTATGACATCTGAATTCCTGTTTACTGATTTTGGTAAATGTGATCATTTTGCAAAATGCTCAGATACACACTCATAAACAGCAACACCTGTATGACATTATTTTTCTGCAAAGGTACCTAATAAATCAGTACCTAATAGACTAGAATGTTATGACATCAGTCATGACATTCATACACCTGGTTTTACCAAAAATGCATGCCAATAACTAAGCAACTACAAACTCCCCCTTTGGCAGATTTTTGGCTAAAGCCCCTAAGCAATCAGAGAATAGATAGCAGCAGAATAAATATGACTGCAGAAAAATAGAGTCTAATAATGTCTACCAAAATATATCTCCCCCTCTTTAGCCACAAATGGGCCAAAGATACATGTTCTTAAAAGTTATACAGTCATCCCAAAAGTAAAAACAACAACTAAAATCTGAACACACTTGCAAACTCCACCAGGAAACAGCAGCAACTCCACCAACCTTTAAGCACTGTTATCAGACTCAGAAGGTTCGGGCTTCTTCCTTTTCTTGTGAGCAATATCAGCATTCTTCTCTTTGTCTGATGTCTCAACATCCTTAGAGACATCTGGATTTGTTTCAGCATTTGAACTTTCTTGATTTAAAGGAACAGAAATGCCAGGAACTAAGTGGTTTTCGTTCAGAATTCTTGTAACAATTTTAGCTATTGCTTGACGAACATAGGCTGACCCTTCCCTATTTGCAATTTCAGAGGGAACAGAAGAAGAAGGATGAGATGGATTACCAGAGGCAGTAGCTTGGGACCTTCCTGCATGTCTTGTTCTTATCTCTTTGACCTTGGTGGGGTTAGTTTCCACTTCTCTAAGAGAAGCGATCTCCAGGACTTTAGAATCCAGGCAAGATGAGATTGCCCTAGAATCTTGATCAGAGGAAGAGGATGAAATAGTCGTATTGGATGATGATGGTGTTTGAGACATTTTGATAGTCTTAGAAGACCAATAGCAACTGGAGAGAAAATTCTGATTGAGAGACTAGGTTTTGATGCGGAGACGAGAGGGGAAGGAAGAAAAGGAGTGTCTATTCAACTTCTTAAAAGAATTGAAGGAAATGGGAAAATATAAGTTTAACCCAATCAGAACAGACTTAACAAGCATAACTCCTTCAACCCTTGTTTTAAGCAAAATTAGTTGCTACAATTCCTCATGTTGACAAATACCCAACTTACCCCTCAAGTTTTCAAATTGATTTGCATCAAGTGCCTTGGTAAAAATGTCAGCCAGCTGTAGCTCAGTGGCAACATGTTCCAGTTTAATTGTCTTCTCTTCTACAAGGTCTCTGATAAAGTGATGTCTTATGTCAATATGTTTGGTTCTACTATGCTGAATGGGATTCTTGGAAATGTTGATTGTACTCAGATTGTCACAGTACAATGTCATAACATCTTGTGTGACATTATAATCAGTAAGCATCTGTTTCATCCAGATCATTTGAGAACAGCTACTACCAGCTGCAATGTATTCAGCTTCAGCAGTAGAGAGAGACACACAATTCTGTTTCTTGCTGAACCAGGAAACCAGATTATTTCCCAAGAAGAAACATCCTCCATAGGTGCTTTTTCTATCATCACCACTACCATCCCAATCAGCATCACAGTAACCAGTCAGAGTTGGTTCACAGCCATGAGAATATAGCAAACCATAGTTGTAAGTTCCACTCACATATTTCAAAATTCTCTTCACTTGGTTGATATGACTGAATTTAGGATCAGCTTGGTATCTTGCACAAACTCCAACTGCAAAAGCAATGTCAGGTCTGCTGGCTGTTAAGTACAACAAGCTTCCTATCATGCTTCTGTACAGACTTTGATCCACCTTAACCCCACTTGAATCTTTGGAAAGATTTAAATGAGTAGGAGCAGGAGTCCTTTTGTGACTGGCATTCTCCATACCAAACTTCTTTACAATGTTCTTTGCATACTTGCTTTGAGATAAGAAGATTGAGTCCTCCATCTGTGAGACTTGCAGTCCAAGAAAATAAGTTAGTTCTCCCATGAGACTCATTTTGAATTCAGCCTGCATCTGGTCAGCAAAATATTTAACCATAGGTTCTGACATTCCTCCAAACACTATGTCATCAACATATATTTGGGCTACCATCAACTTCCCTCCTTCAGTTTTGACAAAGAGTGTTTTGTCCAAGCCTCCTTTTCTGTATCCTTTGTCTGAGAGAAATTTTGTTAACCTGTCATACCATGCTCTAGGAGCTTGTTTCAGGCCATATAGAGCTTTTCTCAATTTGTAGACATGATCAGGGTGGTTTGGATCCACAAAGCCTTTAGGCTGTTCCACATAAGCTTCCTCATTCAAGTACCCATTTAGAAAGGCACTTTTCACATCCATCTGAAATAACTTGAACTTCAGAAGACAAGCAATTGACAATAGGAGTCTGATTGATTCCAGCCTGGCTACAGGTGCAAAGGTTTCATCAAAATCAACCCCTTCAACCTGAGTGTATCCTTGAGCAATAAGTCTTGCCGTATTCCTGGTGACAACTCCTTCAGCATCTGATTTGTTCTTGAAAATCCATTTTGTGCCAATGATGTTAGTTCCTTCAGGTCTAGGAACTAGTTCCCAAACTTCATGTTGCTTGAATTGGTTCAGTTCATCTTGCATTGCTCCAATCCAGTATTCATCAGTTAAAGCTTCCTTGACATTTCTTGGTTCCATTTTAGACACAAAACAAGAGTTTGAGATTATTTCTCTAGATCTTGTAATGACTCCACTATTGGGATCTCCTATGATGAGCTCTTTTGGATGATCCTTCTGAATTCTGATGGAAGGGATCTTGCTAGCTTCCTTTGATTCAGATTCTGCTGTGGTGGTGTTGGGTAGATCATTCTGTTGAGTTGAAGTCTCAAAGAATGTCTCAACATTACAAGGGACATCTATTTCCTCATGATAATCATCAATTATGACATTTATTGATTCCATCATGGCTTTGGTCCTGGAATTGAATACTCTATAAGCTCTGCTGTTTGAGGAGTATCCTAGAAATATGCCTTCATCACTTTTAGGGTCCAGTTTTCTTCTTTGTTCACGATCTGCCAGAATATAGCATTTGCTGCCAAACACATGGAAGTACTTCACAGTTGGTTTTCTTCCTTTCCAGAGTTCATATATGGTGGATGAGGTTCC